ATATATACACTATATCGAAAATAATAATCTTAAAAAATATATATAAAATAAAATAATAATGATCATGTGAATATTGTTTTCCCTTCTATACAACTATAGGTGAGTCCACTCTCATGGACTCACCCTCTAACATCCCTTCACTATTATTCTGCAGGATGATCGGTACAATACTATATCATATATATGTATTTTTTAAATATATTAAATAATGCAATAAAATAATAATGATTACACGAATATCGCTTCCACTTCTAAACAACCATAGGAGAGTTCATTTAATATCCCCTAACTATTCTGCAGGATGATCAATTCGATACTATATCATTAATGGAAATTTTAAAAATATACTAATTCATGAAATAAAATAATAATGATTATACAAATATCGTTTTCACTTCTACACGACATAGGCGAGTCCATTCTAGAACACCTTCTAACAACCCCTGACTGTTTTGCAGGATGATCGGTGCGATGCCAGCGGTGGCAGTCCGCCACGAACGTAAGCGACAGGAAAAAAGATTAAAACGTCCTAGTCAGCTTTACATAGGGGGCCAATGGATGCCACCGCCTCAAGGTTCGCCGCCTACTCCCAGCCCTCATGGCTACAACAGCCACCTGGAGCCTTTACCCGAGTTGTATTTCTGTGGCAAGGTAATTCTTCGCTTACACGTACGAACATATGTCGCAATGACGGACACCGTCGCGCTAACGTGACTATTTATTGATCTCAAGCGAGCTTACGCTACGCATCGCTGGTACACTTTCTGATAACGCGAACGTTCGATTTCTCTGGGCTTCAGTTGCCTCGTACACCGCGCTCTTTGGAATCGTGTGCCTCTTCGTTGGTAAAGTTACGGAATATTGAGAGAACACAGAAATTTGCAATCTGTTTCCTTAAATTCGATACATTTGGGTGTCAGAGAGCTGACAAGGACTGTCTTCTCTGAATTTAGATAATTAAGTGGGAAGAATTATCAAAATAAATAAATAAATAAAACAATTTATAAGTTTTTAGATAGGTAAAGTACTAAGTAGTAGAAGTCCTATCTGTAATGTTCAACTGTGTACATTAGACATAAATAATATGCTTCTTTTGGTAAAATTGGTAGGAACGTAATTATGTATACTTATTTATCTCCAGTGTATCGTATTAACTATAATTTTCTATGTATGTTATATTTGGCATAATCGATGTCTGCAACGTTGAAAAGGATGAACCAATTACTTTGACCAGTTTGGTAGTTCTAGAATCTTATAATATTCACTGGTAACACGACCATGATTTAATGTGATTAAAAGACTAATTAGAAGTACCTCGTTTGTAATAGAGTTTCGAGTTGCACAATATCAGTTACACAATTCGTATGTACCTGAGCGTCACGCTATTGCAGGTTTACTTGATCGAGGTCATAACTAAGGTAGTAACAAAACAAAGCCACATTGAAATGGGAGCTTAAGAAACAACGAAACCCTAGCAAAATCCTCCACTTACCCGATTTCCCCATTTTTCCATCTTTCCATACATCTAAGAATACATTCACCTACATTCACAGCTATGATAGCAACATCCCAAAATACCAAAACCCTAGAACGAAAACAGGATCACAAACAAGGTCATAAACAGACTCCCTCGACCAACTTCTCAATTTTTACATTGTCCTTCTACACCAGTGATGTCAAACACGCGACCCAATGGTTGAACTGAATTTTACTGAAATGATAAATGAAATCAGTGAAATAAGTCAAATCTAATGTTTCGAATATACATAAATGAGGTTTTCCTTGTTCCTCAACATCTTTTCTATCGATAGATTTTTTAAACACTGCATTTTGCAGCTCATGTTCCTGTGTTAACCACACTGTTTTACAAACTTCCATTAAAATCAAAATTTTCTTGCAATAAGGTGTTCTAATAATTTTTCCATTTCCTATATACGTATCTATACCTTAGAGCCAGTACAATCTAAACCCATTTGTGTCATTAGTCGCTATAGCGAAGAAGCTTCAAGGAATATACATTTCTTACATGAAATTGATTAATTTCACTAGAGAATTAAATACCTACAAGACTTCCCACTGAAAAAAATGGCACTGTCAATAGCTCTTTAAATTTGTATTGACACACACCTTCTCATTATGTATAAAAAGACATGGTATTTCCATAAAGAAAGAGAAACTTGATTTTGATTTCTCATCCACCACTTCTCCACATTTGTACCAAATTATATCGCACTTTATACCACACAATTTCGATCTTAACATACCTTTTCTACCTTTCGTCGCTTCCCAGATATTCCACTGACAAAACAGACACCCTGTGTACATCGGTTAAAAATTATGTTTCTATAAGACGAGGTCATATTTCAGTAAACAGGAAATCGGTGAAAATGGAACGATAAGCGATGCGAGAGCATAATGATCGCACGATGACTGTTGTAGATGGGAAATGATTTAACAAGGACATTGTCGTTCACAGATATCCGGGCTACACGCGGTGGTGGTGTGCCTATTGTTAGGCGCAGTGGTGCTAGTCGTTGGTCTAGTCCAACTTGCCCCGGGTGCGACGACCACCGACCATAGACTCGCTCTGCTCATAGCCGGCAGTATTCTGCTTCTCCTAGGTGAGCCACTTTTTCTCCAGTCTGCGAAACTGTACCAAGGAAATCCTGAATCTCTGCCAGAACGATCCAGCGATCTCTTGACGAATGCTCGCTAGAGAATGGGTCAAGGAAATATCGTGTTCCGCGTTTGGTTTCGAGTAAAATACGAATAGAGGAAAGAATAAATGTCTACCAGGGATGTCGTAATCGGAATAATTCTGAATAATTTAAACGATCCCTCGTGTGATAAGAAAATCGTTATCCGCTCATTTGCTTCCTATGCCTTTCGCATTGGAATTCTGATCCTTGGAAGAGTATGAGTGACATTAAATACACTCGGTACGTATTTCCTGTTTATTTTAAGTTTCCCGTGGTTCGCGTGTTTTATGCTAATTTTATTTAAAGAGCAATCGAGACGCATTTCTGTGGGCGTAGAACTTTCATATCGAAAATTTAATGGAACGACTGGAAATATTTTTCCAGCTGATTTTGTTCCTTATGCAGAGTTGTTGAAAAGAAGAATGGAATTTTTAAGACACTTTACTTTTGAGTTTTGCGAATTTTCACGCCAGCTTCGGTGCAGCGATTGTATCGCAACTGTGAATTCCGTGGCCCTCGAACTTTAGAAACACAAAGTTCATACTCGGAAACTTGCGAATTCAATAGACTCGATCGTAATGACGCTTTCGCAAAATTTCAAACGGTATTTTCGTTGAAAATGTCTAAACGACTGATATTAAAATTTTAATAAAAATCTCGGTAGGCCATATTCTAAAGTAATTGACTATAATAATTGACTATATAAACTCGTTTTATTTTTATAAGGATGAAATACAAGACAATGTCGAAGCAATAAGGAATAGCTTGAAAAAAACTTTCTCTTCTTTAGAGACTTTATGACCTAATCGTATTGCTGTGAGCTATTCATTCAGGGTAACCAAGTTACTGTCAGTTAACATCGTGGTCGGAATAAAAGTGATGGTTGTTCTTTGACTTACCTAGAAAAGGATGCGAATATTCTTCCTATAAAACACTAAAACACCATTAATTCTCGTAATTTTATACCTTCTTGGGGAAAAACGATTAATAAGATTCTCCGAGCAGAAATTTGATTTTTATGAAAATGTATATTACGCTTCTTTTTATTTGAGTAACAAGTACCTCCTTCTTTTAACTATATAGATTAGTATAAATTGTGAAGCAAAAAGGAACGATAGTAAAACTTCATAATTACATATAAAAATATATTTAAGAATAAGTACATTTTTACAGCGAACAGAGTCGTTGCATATTTCCGAGAAAAGTTAAATGACATAAAAAAATGGCATGAAAAAATTGAAAAATTTTTAATAACTTCATCCGCTTCAAAAATTCTATCAAATTAATTTATCGGGTAATTGGCAGCTCATTAAAAACACCGATACAAAATTGAGGTCAACCTAAAATTTATTTGAACCATACTTTTCATTCTTTCCCATAAAATTCATTATTTTTTTTCTAACTTATTTAACTATATTAATAAAATATTTTAAAAAGACACCCGGTTCCCTATAAATTCTCAGGCAGCTGTCAATAATTCCTAATCCTTACGGAATCTATATTTTGCTATTAATATTTACTGATCGATCTCGTCGTTCTCGAAACATGCATGATTAAATGGAGGAAAAAATTGCAAGGAAAAATTGCAACGTCGAATATGTACCATCATGAAACACACGATATCGAAATCTGATGATGGAGTATTATTGCATGTCCTTTCGCGCGAATGTTTCTTGCCAGATACGTTTAAATGCAGATCCACCGGGTTGCAGCAGCAGCAAGAAGCTCCATAACATTTGCATGTTCATTAAAGTTCGCCGATGAAATTCATATGCATCGATACAATCAACGCGCGGTCATACTCGTAAACTTACGGATAAAGCGGCGGGTCGGAATTAAATTCGCAAAGTACACTACACAGCGTATTAATTATGCGGTATTAAAGCGAAACATATTGATTTACGGCTCGAAATTTATCACAGAAAATTTTGATCGAATTTTCGTAACGCTAAACTAATTACGGGTCAGCCTATGGAAATTACCGCAACGTAAACCACCGGTGCTTGTTTTCGTCGTTAAACGAGCTTTGAATCAACAAATCTGAGTTTTGCGTTAGACAAGCCAAGGTAACAACACTGTACTAATTATTTGCACAGCAAAATCTGTCATTAAGACTTTGTGGACCGATATATGGAATATTAAATATTTATGCTATATGTAGAATAATACAAAGCTCGTTTAGAATGTCAAGGATTTAATTAATTCAATTATCGCAAGAATGTTTTGAACGCGATAAGTAGTACAAACAGCGTCAGTAGTTTGTCCAAGTATTTAGTCAGACGTTTAGACAATTGTACCCTTTCGAAAATGAATGTAAAATTTTACTTGGATAAAATCATTGTAAAATTAATAGATCTATTTTGAAAGAGCAATAATAATGTAATAATAATATAATATTTAGTAATTAAATATTTAGTATCTCCTTTATATTCGAAATAAATTACCTGTTGCTCGTGCAAAAAAATACATCATATTTCCATTCCAAATTATACTTCAATCTTCAGATATATTAAATTATACTCGATAGAAGCTTTCAACGAATCAACCCTTTACTATTAAAATCATCCCATTAATAATACAATACATACAACATCCAAGATTCAAAATTTATTAGACTACTTTAAAACTATCTTTTGATATATATTCATACCCACACCGAATTGCCTTAATAATATAAAAATATCAAGGAAACACTTTCTCAACGATCATTCTATTGCATAAAAAATATTGCGTAAAAGTACCTACTACCAACACCTCAAATCTTGCATCCCGAGCAATCCTAAGAGCCATGCTAACAAAAACTTAACTATTTTCAGGTATCATCCTGGCCGCTGTTAGATGCTACGTGCTGCACTGTGTGCCATTGCCAAGCGAGTCGCCAGTGGCAACACCACTTCCGCCACCAGCTGCCGAGCAACCTGGACTTCCACGAGGCACGCTGGACCTCCTGGTGGGCCATCAGAATCAACCAGAAACCGATGCATTGATGCACCCCGAGCACCATCACCAGTATCACCACCACCACCATCATCACCATCACGGAAATCACAAGAAGAAGCGTAGCTCGCAGGGTTCTCACTCCTACGAAGCCTAATGATCCACGTTAGAAACCCTGCTAATTAAATGGATCTAGTTAGTCGGCATTGAAAGTACATCTGTTGAAAGAAAGAAACTCCTAAGGAGTCGCAGACCAAATTAGAGAGGGAGAGGGAAGTAGGATGAATTAGGGATAATAGAGAGAGAGAGAAAGAGAGAGAGAGAAAGAGAGAGAGATGACGGAGACGTAGATTAAAGATTTTGGAGAAAGTAAAATGACAGATAATTATCGCAGTCAGTCTGTACGTGTACATTATACTCGATTCTTTTATCTTTTGTAACTTTCTATATATATATATCTATATATATATATAT